TTTTTTCTGTTTTTGGCCAGGGCTGGGTTTGAACCCACCACCTCCGGTATAGGGGCCAGCGCCCTACTCCTTTGAGCCACAGGCACCGCCCGTGCTTTCGTTTTCTTGATGGTGTCTCTTCAAGTACAAATGCTTTGAATTTGGATGAAGTACATTTAATCAGTTTTTCTTTTATAGATTGTGCTTTTGATGTCATGTCTAAGAAATCTTTGCCAAACCCACAGTCACAAGGATTTTTCTCCAGGGTCTTCTTTTTATAGTTTTTAAAGTTCTATGGTTTTAGTTGTAATAATGTCTTTTTGAACGTGCATACCATTATTTGTAACAAAAACAAATAAATAGAATTTTAGGCACTTGTATTTATGCTTGTAATTTTGTTAAATATTGCCAAGTTGCACTTCATGGAAGTTGTATCAACATACACTACCGATAACAATAAACAAAAGTGCCTTATCTTTCTTTTTTCTTGGAGACAGATTCTCACTATGTCGCCCTGGGTAGAATGCTGTGGCATCACAGCTCACAGCAACCTCAAACTCCTGAGCTTACACAATTCTCTTGCCTCAGCCTCTCAAGTAGCTGGGACTATAGGCGCCCACCACAACACCTGGGCTATGTTGTTGTTGTTGTTGCAGTTGTCAGTGTTGTTTTTTAGCTAGCCTGGGCCGGATTCGAACCTGCCAGCCTTAGTGTACAGGCACCGAGCCATGGACACCGCCCCAAACCTTTTTCACACGTTTCATCAGTGTATTATTAAATTTTTGAACTGTGCCAACTTGAATGGCATCCCAGTGCAATTTACATTTACATTTTTCTTATTAAAATTTATAGTAAACCATTTGTTTTTCCTTCTCATGAAATATAAGCTCACAACTTTGATCTTTTTCTTATTGACTTGCACCAGCTCTTAACATATTTGGGAAACTACTGCCCGCAGGCCACATGCAGTCCACCTAGGACATTTATCCAGTCCACCGGGTGTTTCTGCTGCCGCTGCCTGTCCTGCTTCACAGCCGACTCATCCCCAGGCCCACAGTTCAGCCCTCCAATGGTCTGAGGGACAGTGAACTGGCCCCCTGTTTAAAAAGTTCGAGGACCCCTGATGTATATTGTCTCCACTTTATAGATAAGAAAACAGATCTAGGGCTGAGTGTGGTGGCTCACACCTGTAATCCTAGCATTCTGGGAGGCCTTGGCAGGTGGACTGTTCGAGTTCACGAGTTCTGACACCAGTCTGAGCAAGAGGGAGACTTCCTCTCTAAAAACTAGCCGGGTGTTGGGGCAGGCACCTGTAGTCTCAGCTACTCAGAAGGCTGAGGCAAGAGGATGTCTTGAGGGCGGTGCCTGTGGCTCAAAGGAGGGCACTGGCCCCATATACCAGAGGTGATGGGTTCAAACCCAGCCCCGGCCAAAAACTGCAAAAAAAAAGAAGATCTCTTGAGCCCAAGAGTTTGAAGAGTTTGAGGTTGCTGTGAGACACCATGGCACTTTACTAGGGTGACAAAGTGAGACTTTGTCTCAAAAAAAAAGAAAGAAAGAAAGAAAGAAATCCAATCAAAGATAGCATATAGCCCTGCACCTAACACGTTCTTAAATTTTTTTGCTATTGCTGTTATTGTTTCTTAGATTATAATAATCTACGAAGAGTAACATAAGCAGCTCCAAACAGGTGTTAAGACTGGTGGGGAAAACAGAAAGCAGAAGCCCACAAAAGTTGCGAACAGAGCCAGAGATCAGAAAGTTTTTCTGCCCTCCATACTCCAACACACCGGTTTCCAAGACCCAGCTTTATGTTCCACTAAGCGCCAAACCTAACAACCACGTCGACCTCATTACCACCCCCAAACCCGATCCCTAAGCCTCTTTCTGCCATCCTGCCCCGCCCACTGCTATTGGCGCATGCGCCTCAGGGCTGTTTGCGCGCCCGCTGCTCTCGCTAGCCGACACACCCTGCTTCCGGCGCGGAGATTAGTTTCCACAAGCCCCGGCACTTAGTGATGATGTCAGCTCCGGTTGCGGTGCTGAGTCGGAAGTGGGAACCCTTCGGCCACTGAGACTTTGTCGTGTCGTCGCTGCTGGCCCTTCAGGCTCTGGTAAGAGAGAAAACAGCTTAAGGGGAGAGGGTCGGTGAATCGACTGTGGGACATTTTCCCCTAGTCCAATGCCAGTTTAGACCTCTGCGCTCTTATCGCCTCCAAATTCCTTCTCCTGTGCTTTCTTGACTAGGGATTCTCTCCTTCGTGAACTTCGACCCTGTCAGATTTGGAACCCCTTACAGTGCCCCAGCTTCTGGTGTCTCTCTCTCCATTTCGCTCCTCCACTTTGCCAAGCCCCTCCTGCAAAAGGCGCAATACTGTCCTTGCATTTTCTTTTGATTTCCTTTCTCTAGAACGTGTACCGAACGGGTGGGAGTCCCTCCTTCCTGCGAATCCTTTAAGGAACAGGAAGGGTAAAATTTTAAGAGTAAACGGTAAATAGCTAGATGCCAAAAAGGTAAAATTAATCATGAGTCGTAGTCATCAAACCAGTTGAATGCATATGCCAAGGTGTTGACATTTTTTAAGGCAAATGACTTATGTTCATCACTCCTAATTCTCCTGGCATCCTGCCTTGTTTTCCCTAGGGCTTTGAAGACACTTCTAAAATTGAGTGACCACAGCTCGGGGGCTATTCTTTGATGAGTCTTCCTTTGCCATCAGTTTTTTACTCCAAAAGCAAGAATGTGTTTAGTCTTGCTGTCATTGATTGTTTTTGCTCCACGTGGCATCCCACCTAAAGATAAAATGGGACCCTAGATTTAATGCTATTTGCTTTTTGACTTGAAGAGATCCTTTTAGGTTACAGGTAGATGTGTTGGACGTATTTGTTGCCACATTAGCATGGCTCGAAAGTATTGGGTGAAACATATGACAATGAAAACATTTCTCTAGCTCGGTGCCTGTAGCTCAGCGCCAGCCACATACACCAGAGCTGGTGGGTTCCAACCCAGCCCGGGCCTGCCAAACAACAATGACATCTACAAGGAAAAAATAGCCAGGTGTTGTGGCCGTCGCCTGTGGATCCAGCTACTTGGAAAACTGAGGCAAGAGAATCGCTTAAGCCCAGAATTTGAGGTTGCTGTGAGACCTGTGATGCCACGGCACTCTACCAAGGGCAACTTAGTGAGACTCTGTCACAAAAAAATGAAAGAAAAGAAAGGGTTCGGCACCTGTGGCTCAAGTGGCTAAGGCGCCAGCCACATACACCTAAGGTGGCAGGTTTGCATCCAGCCTGGGCCACCAAAAAACAATGACAGCTGCAACCAGGCGTTGTGGCAGGTGCCTGTGATCCCAGCTACTTGGGAGGCTGAGGCAGGAGACTCTCTTGAGCCCAGGAGTTGGAGATTGCTGTGAGCTGTGACGCCACGGCACTTTACCCAGTGGGACAGCTTGAGGCTCTGTCTCCAAAAAAAGAAAGAAAAAAAGAAAACTTTTACTTAATACCTTTTTTTGAGACAGAGTCCCAGTCTGTCACCCTTGGTAGAGGGTCGTGGTGTCACAGCTCACAGCAACCTCCAACTCCTCGGCTTAAGCGATTCTCCTGCCTCAGCCTCCCAAGTAGCTGGGATCACAGGCTTCAGCCACAATGCCTAGCTATTTTTTGTTGCAGTTGTCATTGTTGTTAAGCAGGCCTGGGCCAGGTTGGAACCCACAAGCCTCAGTGTATGTGACTGGCACCATAACCACTGTGCTACAGGCACTGAGCCTCTAATACCTATTTTTGTTTGACATATGTATTGCTCATTAAGACAGAGACCTTATTAATAGGGGTTGATTTTTAACAATCTGTTTTATGAAGTGTTCCAGATATTCTTTTTATACTGTACAAAGGCTTGGCGCCTGTGGCTCAAGTGGCTAAGGCGCCAGCCACATACACCCAAGGTGGCGGGTTTGAATCCAGCCCAGACCCACCAAACAACGACAGCTGCAACCAAAAAATAGCTGGATGTTGTGGCGGGCACCTGTGGTCCCAGCTACTTGAGAGGCTGAGGCAGGAGACTTGCTTGAGTCCAGCAGTTGGAGGTTGCTGTGAGCTGTGATGCCATGGCACTCTACCCAGGGGGACAGCTTGAGGCTCTGTCTCAAAAAAATAAATAAATAAATCAAAACTGTACAAAGTCTGATGTTAAAACATTTGTGTGCTCAGGAGAGCTAACAATGGCCTTTAAAATATTAACAGCACTGCTTTGAAACAAAAGCTTGAATCAAGGGAGGGTGAGAGAATTTTGTAGGATGGCTGTTATATACTCTTGGAAGCAGGTATATCAGAGTGAAATTTGTTTTCAAGGAGGACGTATTCAAAAAGCTTCTAAGGATTGACGATTGTATCATCCCAAAGGCTGACAACAGGATAGTGTTGCATCTCCGTATGGCAGTTAAAAATAGGAGATTATAAATCCCCAATGACACTCTTGAATACTAAAGCTAAGGGTAATTAGTTATCTCCAACTCCATTCAATCAGACCTTTCTTTTAGAGTGGGTAATAGCTAGGTACCCTTATTTACATTTGCAAGTCCGTTGAACAGATCTACGCTGGCATTTCCACATACGTTTTCATCATGTGATCAGTCCTTTTTCTGGCAAATCTTTTCTATAAGTGATTACACATTATTAGCCTGTTTCTAATAGTTTGCACAGAATTGAAATATATGTGGAAAAGATGAGCTTAGAGAAAGGCAGATGAAAATACTTTTGGTTTTCACAGGCAGTAGAGATGACCCCAGAGATTTATTTCCATTCTTCCTTATATACATGCTGAGATACCAAAGAGCCACAGGGTCTGGCCTGGTACTTGACCTTCCACTGCAACCCAAGACAAGTAGTAAAGCCCTTAGCTTGAAGTAGGATCATGAATGATGCTGTTGATTATAAGTAGTTTAGTAATAACTAACTAGAGTGACGCCTGTGTCTCAAAAGGGTGGGCACTGGCCCCATATGCTGGAGGTGGCGGGTTCAAACCCAGCCCCGGCCAAAAAAAAAAAAAAGGAATAACTAAGTACATGTAAGATTGAGTCATTCAGTAAATACTTAGGATTTTGGCTAAGCACCTGTAGCTCAAGCGGCTAAGGCGCCAGCCACATACACTGGAGCTGGCAGGTTTGAATCGAGCCCGGGCCCACAAAACAACAGTGACAACTATAACCAAAAAATAGCCGGGCGTTATGGCGGGTGCCTGTAGTCCCAGCTACTTGGGAGGCTGAGACAAGAGAATCACTTAAGCCCAGGAATTGGAGGTTGCTGTGAGCTGTGATGCCACGACACTCTATCTAGGGCAACAGCTTGAGGCTCTGTCTAAAAAATAATAATAATAGATAAATAGGATTTTGTGATTGTGATATATAATGTCAGACTCAGAAAGAATAATCCGATATGAACATATATTCAAAGGGCATACAGTCAAGTTTGCAAAGTTTATCTGAGGTTTATCTGAGGTGCAGTTATTACTAATAGAAAACTTTTCCCAATACCCTGCCATGATGACTTGAAATATAGTTAGCACTGGCAATTTCTGACAATCTCTACAGAGACTGAATTTTAAAAAAGAAAGCATACATCTAGGAAGGTAGAAGATCTGCTTAAAAATACAATGTAGAAAGTTTGAAGTCCTAATAAAAATGTAAATGTCATAGGAAGCTAGCTTCTTTACACAGTATGATAATACAAAATTGAGAAAGGAGGAAATAATGCTATTTATGGCAATAAATCCTCTTTGTCTCTCTTGATAATCTTAAGAGCCTCTCTGTGTCATATGTCCTATCTTCCTGGCTTTCAACTTCCTTTCTACTTACAGGGTACAGGTGACATGAGTCCTTTGTAATAATCTGGAGTCTTCCATTGTTTGACTTATGCAATTTAGCAGAATTTATTGGCTTTTATGACTGGAAAGTCCAGAAGACTTTCTCTTTCAGCCTCTCAACTCTGTTTTTCTATATGTTGGCTTAGTTTTACGCTAGGCCTTTTCTAAATGGTATAGAACTGGCAATAGCAACTCTCAGTTTATGTGTCACCAGCTTAGCAAACCAAGCAGGAAAAAAGCCCCCTTTTCTGTAGATTCAACCACAGGCCTGAAGATGGTACTCACTCTGTTTGGCCTCATGGTGCCTTGTGTCCGCTCCTGAAACAATCACTTTGGCTAGAAAATGCTGTATTCCTTTTTTTTTTTGAGACAGGGATTCATATGTCACTCTCGATAGAGTGCTGTGGCTTCACAGCAACCTCAAACTCTTTGGGCCCAAGCAATTCTTTTGCCTCAGCCTCCCTGCCACAATACCTGGCTATTTTTGGAGATGGTGTCTCGCTCTTGCTCAAGCTGGTCTTGAACCTGTAATCCTAGGCAGTCCACCGGCCTTGGCCTTCAGAGTGCTAGGATTACAGGCATGAGCCACCGCACCCGGCCTTTCTTCTTCTTTTTTTTTGGAGACAGTCTCACTCTGTATTCCTTGGTAGAGTGCTGTGGTGTCATTAGCTCACAGCAACTTCAAACTCATGGGCTCAAGCAATGCTGCCTCAGTATCCCAGGTTGCTAGATTTATAGGTGCTCACTACAAAACATGGCTAGATTTTCTATTTCTAGTTGAGACAGGGTCTCACTCTTGCTCAGGCTGATCAACCCCTTCTGAACATATGGCTTAAGTGGAATGAATACCCAAAGGAAGAATTGAGGTGTTCTATTGGAAAGAGAAGATGATATTGTGGGAACAGGGGAAAAAAAGACCTCAATACATTTTTTGCATGCCTGTGGCATTCACAGTATCTTAGAATGGAAGTAGAAGGGTGGTCAGCTCACCATGAGGCAATTCCTACATGAATTAGGAGTAATAGGCTTATGCAATGGTTACATAGGGAAAAACCCTCTCAAACCTCACTGTTATTAATTCCAACGCTAAATGTGATATTGTCCCATTTTTGGCATTATTAAGCTTGATTAAAAATATGTGGCAAGGGCGGTGCCTATAGCTCAATGGGTAGGGTGCCGGCCACATACACCCAGGCTGGCATGTTTGAACCTGGCCCAAGCCAGCTAAACAACAATGACAACAGCAACAACAACAACAAAAACAATAGCCGGGCATTAGTGGCAGGGATCTATAGTCCCAGCTACTTGGGAGGCTGAGGCAAGAGAATTGCTTAAGCCCAAGAGTTTGAGGTTGCTGGGCAGCCCCTGTGGCTCAAAGGAGTAGGGCACCAGCCCCATATGCTGGAGGTGGCGGGTTCAAACCCAGCCTCAACCAAAAAACGCAAAAAAAAAAAAAAAAGGTTTGAGGTTTCTGTGAGCTGTGATGCCATGGCACTCTACTGAGAGTGACACAGTGAGACTCTGTCTCCAAAAGAAAAAAGGCAAAAATAAAATACATAGAGCAACATCTAATAGTTTAATTCTTTGAAGCATTAAAGCCCTGCATCATGCTGGAAGGAGATTAGACTGTCTCCCTAAGTCATTACAGCTAATTAGCCATTAGCTATTATTCAGAAAACAGAAGCAGGAAGCAACTGGTGAAGATGCCTCAGAATTGTTAAGAAGTGTTACAATCTCTCTTCCTCCAGTAAACAAGGGTAACTTTTTTGACTTTTGTTAACATGATTCTGTAAGGGGTCTTACCTTGGTAAATGAAAGGTAGACCAGATGTTCTTTTTGTCTTACATTCATGCCCCCATTCTAAGGATTCTGTCCTTTTTCAATATCCGTAACAGTTCAGTATCCTTGTAAGCAGAATATTCATCCCCTTTCGTCTCTTCCCATCCCTTTTAAGGGAGTATTTCTATGCTGTGGCCTTAAAATTTCAGGAAGGGGGCAAAGCCTTTTAGGGAACTCTGCATATTCCATTGCATATTCCATTATGCCACTGAGCTCATTTGGACTTGAATGAAGACGTGTAATCAGAAGAGTGCAAATGCAGGCTCAGTCATCTCTACTAAGTATCTTTGGGGTTTATATCTATTTCATATTACACAGTACACCTGAGATTTGGAATTTGCGTTTCTTAGTTTTTAGTGGAAGAAATAAAAGTAATTTTAATCCCATGAATAGATAAATTGCTTAATATATTGTGAAAACCCAGATATTTTGAAAACATATAGCTAATGTGGTCCCAGTTCTTACTTGCCTTCCAAATCTAAGATACAGGCTTTCAATTAGTTTATATGCAACTAAGGAATTTCCAGCTCCAACCCTAAGTCATAGAAGTCTGAACAGGTACCACCTTGTCCTCCCCACTGTGAATAAGAACCAGTCTGTCAGCATAGAGATTTGTGGGAAATCTGGTTCTTACTGTTTTTAAGGCCATAGCATTTTTATTTTAAGGCCACAATTATTACAGTTAGTGAATTCTCTCTTTGACTTCAGTAGTTCTTTCTACTTAACATAGTTTTTTAAAGGTATAGCAGATAGAAAAATGTCAACAGATAAATGCGTCCAGCTGAACGTTTTCTAGGCTTTTTAGTTTTAGCTGTTCCCAAATCAGGCCACTATATCCAGTTAATAGGTTTGTAACCATCTTGCCAAAAATGTCTCGAGTTTTGGACTAGGAATTGGGGAATCTTAACGCAAAGCCTTTTTAGATGTATTATACTCAAGAATTGGGAACATGAACAACTATTGGTATATTACAGCTGTTTTGTTATCTATCCTTCTGTGTCTAATACCTGTCCTTCGTGTAGCCCCTCCCCCTAGGTCTGGATGGAGGATAACTTAAAGTGAAATGACAGACCAGGAGAATAACAACAACATCTCAAGTAACCCCTTTGCTGCTCTTTTTGGCTCCCTGGCTGATGCCAAGCAGTTCGCAGCAATCCAAAAAGAGCAGCTGAAGCAACAATCTGGTAAGTGGAGGCGCCAGTAGCAGCAGATAAGATGACCTAGAAAGGGGTCTTTCCAGATTAAGTATCCTTTGAGTCCTTAATTGCAATTGGAATTTAAGTTTTACATGGAAGTTTGGGGGGTTTGGGGGGGTTTTTTTTGGTTGGTTTTTATTTTGGGGTCCTCTCCATCCCTTCCTCCCCCTTACGTAAAAAAAGATCAAATAACAGGTGGTTTCATAGTAACAGATGCCAGTGTGATCCCAAAGCTGTCAAGCTATTTTATTTTTAAAAAATATAACCTAGTAAAAGCTATTTAAATAAATTTTTTTAACATAGGAAACTGAAATGGTAGGTATAGGTGTAGAAAGCAGCTGTAGAGAGCAGATTTATAAGGAGGAATTAGAAAAGCTTGTTAACCTGTAGGCAAATGAGATTTGTTCTTAAGCTCAGCGCTTCAAAGGCCCTCTCAAGTGAAGTGCCTCTCCTGTTCCACTGAGTGGCCTCCTCTTTTTAGCTTACTGCTGTTAGGACAGACTCCTTAGAAAAAATCAATCAGATTGTTAGCCTTAATGTGAAAAAAAATCAGAATAGTCTCACTAATCAGAAAAATGGTTTTCCTCATCTGGGACCAAATTTAAGATCAAGTCCAACTTCCTTCTATCTGGAGACATATAGATTAGAAGCATTAGGGTGGGCTGGGCACTGTGGCTCATGTCTGTAATCCTAGCATGCTGGGAGACTGAGGCGAGTGGATTGCTTGAGCTCAGGAGTTTGAAACCAGCCTGAGCAAGAGTGAGACCCCCGTCTCTACTAAAAATAGAAAAACTAGCCGGGCGTTGTAACAGGCGCTGGTAGTCCCAGCTACTTGGGAAGCTGAGGCAAGAAGGATCACCTAGCTCAGGAGTTTGAGGTTGCTGTGTACTATGACACCGTGGCACTCTAGCCTGGAGCAACAGAATGTGACTCTGTCTCAAAAAAGGGGGGGGGGGGTATGTTTCTCAAATATATTAGTCTTTTAAGGATATTTACAATCTTTCAAATCAGAAATTGTTCCCATTCTCATTTCTTCAAAAATAATAGTTGTTTTTCTTTTGGAAAGAGAGGAAATGCTTATATTTTTTCTTTGTTTATTTAAAAAAAAAAACTATTTAGATTTATAGCTGATTGGTGGCCTGGCTTTCTGATTAAGACTGAATAAAAACAAAGTAAGGCAAAACAGATGAGTGGTAGACAAGGTGATAGATGAGGCAAGGAAAAATAAATTCAATGTTGACTTCTTACATGATTTTCTAAGCTCTGAAATCTCTCCCAGATATCTGTTATACAGGCTCAGAATAGGAAATCTTGCATTAGGAGATTGTAGGGGAGAAAGATGAGTGAAGAATAGGAAAAACAAGAAAATGGAAAGTATAATTTATGAGTACAGGGTTGAAGGAAATTTTACTAAACAGACTCTGAGCTTCTGTCACTATAGGAATTCAGAGGAGTACGTAACAGTATCGGAGCTAGGTGACAGAACGGTCATCTTTCTGGCTATAAACAGACATAAGGCTGGCTAGAATTGGGAGCATTGCAGGCACCAAGCAGTGGGGACACGTCAGATACATGCCCTTCTGTTACTATTTTGGCACCTTCTCATCCTACTTTGTTTACACTGAGTTTATCACGCCACCAGGTCCAACCTGTTTTCCACCAGCAATTAGTAAGTACGCTGCCAAAACCTTGGCCT